CTTGACTTTGGATCTATTCTTTTGATGAGTTTGTTGAACTGTCTTCCAAGCATGGCTACAGCTTCTGAAATGTTTTCTTCAACATCAGTGTTGGACATAAGTGCCATGCTCTTGTTCTTCTTGACACCATTATCAGTGATTCCCATCTCAAAAGTCTGAAGAGACCCAATAAGTTCATCCACTTTCAACTTGCTAATGTCCTGGGCTTCCTCTATGGCAGTTACCTTCATTGCAAATCTTTTAGGCAAGGATCTGAGAATCTTCCTCACCAGTTTTTCTTCTGACATCTTTTCTCCCAGTGCTCCTGAGGTGTTGGCAATCTCCAAGATGTTCATGTGAAACTCATGAATGGTTTCATCTTCCATCATTTTTAGATTCTCAAATTTGGTAGTCAACATCTGAAGCCTTGACATTTTTACTTTGGAAGTGCCCTCATGAGTAATTTTGAGAGTGTCCCAAACTTCCTTGGCCAGTTCATATTGATGTACTAATCTGAAAATGTTTCTATCAATTCCATTGAACAAGGCATTTAAAGCTTTGGAATTTCCCAGGGCTAACTCATCTTCTTCTTTACTCCAATCTTCCTCAGGCTTCAGACTGATTGTCTCATCTTTCTCAGTTATGGTGGGATGAATCCATCCTTTGTCAGCAGCTCTCCAAGCCTTTTTGTCCAGAGATTTTAGGAAGGCAATCATACGAGGTTTCCAGTAGTCATAATTAGTTCCATCCAGAATGGGTGGTCTATTTCCAAAAACTCCTTCTTTGTTCATAGTGCCAGAAAGTGATATCCCTAGATCTCACCCAGTAATACAGGCAGGGTGCCTGCTCTGATGCCAATTGAAATTCTGGCTGCAGATACTCAATGTCACGTTCAATGTTATGACACCGTATCTGACTTACTATATGACAGTAAATACAAAAGCAATAAAGAACACAGTCAATTGTTTACCCAGTTCAGTGTGCAACAACACCTACTCTGGGGGCTACCAAGCCAGGGAGGAAATCCACTATAAGAGATGTTAATTCAGGAATAAACCAACCAGTTTATCTCCTTCACTTAAGACCTACCCAATGCAATTCCAATCTAAGTACAACTTAAACCTGAGATCCTACTCACTCCCCCTCAATCACAGCAGTGATACATAAACCAATTTGACTTAAGAATTGATGAAAACACTCTTCAAAAACAAACACTTGATTAAGCTTCACAGCTTTTTAATCAAGCAACACAATCACTCGTGCTTCACAGCTTTGAGTGATGCACACAGCTAACTTGACTCTGCTTCACAGCTTTAGTCAAGGAACATTCAAACACTCTTGCTTCAAAGCTTTGAGTGCTACACAGCCCTTACAATTAGAAACCTATTCCAAGTCACTTATCACAATGATAATTGCTTGGAGTACAATAATCAAACCTATACAGATTACAAATGATCTTCTGATCAATAAAAGGGATGCCTTGCAAAACAGCAGCTCTGTTGAATATATAGCAGCTGCAACTTCAGTTAGGGTTTCCACAAAAACCTAGGGTTAATTCCGTTTGACCTAAAGACCAGGTCACAGGACTTTATTAACCAGGTTAGGGTTGAGCTAGGTTACCCCTCAGAAAACGCAGGATTCTGTTCAGGAAAGACTGAGTTATTTTCCTGAAAAAACTCAGACTTATCCAACCTGCAAACCTGTTAGTTCAGAACAGGATGTCATAACATCTGTTATGACATCTGAGAAAACCTGTCTACTGATTTAGCAAAATGTGATCATTTTGCAAAATGCTCAGATACACACTTATAAACATCAGTACTTGAATTACAATATTTTTCTGCAAAGGTACCTAATGAGTCAGTACAAACTGAACTAGAATGTTATGACATCAGTCATGACATTCACACGTACACTTGGGTTTTACCAAAAATGCAAGCCAATACCTAAACAACTACAATGGACTTCAGTCACACTTTCTTCTTAAGAGCTTCATAGGTTGACAACGCAACCCCAAGTGGCTTCTTGGATCACCAAGAAATAGGACTTTCAAGATACAAACAAAAATATCCAGAAGTTTTTCTTCTATCAACTCTCAGAGTCCCTTCAGTATCTTGCAGCTTGTCAAACTCTACAAATCTCCTTGTTATTTTTCTAATTTTTTATGACCTCTGGACTTCTTCAGAATCTCCTTCTGATTCTGAAACCGTATCTCCTTCTGGAATTTCTTCAGAAGATTGACTACCACCAGAAGCTCTACCTTTGTTAACTTATGGACCTCGTCCAGAACCACTACCTTCAGAAATACCACCTCCAAAAGTTGGATCGTCTTCAGAAGCTCTGCCTTCAGAAGTTCCACCTTTAGAATCATGACCTTCATCAGAGACTGGACTACATTCATAAGCTATTCCTTCAGATGGTCCACCTTCGAAGTCATGATTACCACCAGAAACATGATCATCTCTAGAAGCTTGTCCTCCAGAACCTACATCTTCAGAGTTTTCCCTTCCAGAAGCATGACCACCACCAGATTCAAAATCTGGATCAGAATCAGATTCACCATCCAACTCATCTTCAGAGTCTCCAGAAGATTCTTCATCTTCTGACTCTAGCTCTTCTTCAGAACTTTCAAGTTTTGACTCATCTTCTGAAGCATAATCTTCTTCAGATTCTGACTCATCTTCTGATTCTTCTTCAGACTCGGAATCAGCTTCAGATTCTGACTTGTCTTCAGCTTCAGAGTTATCTTCTAACTCTGACTCATCTTCAGAAACCTCAGATTCTGACTCATCAAAATCTTCAGCATCATCTTCTGATTATGACTCATACTCAAACACTCCTTTAGAGTCTGAATATTCATATTCATCGTCTTCCCCTTCAGAATCAGAAAATGACAATATCACAGGTTTCTCATCAAATTCATAAGCCATTAATATGACATGTTCATCATTTGAATCTCCTCTGGCTATTTTTGCTTCTTCTTTGTTTGACTAACAATCTTTAGCAAAGTGGCCAAACCTATTACAACAGTAACATTGAACCATTATGTTTTCCTACTTCTCCTTTCCCTTCTGATGTTTCTTTTCATCAGAATAGAATATTTATCACTTCTGGGAAATACCACCACGTCTCTTCTGCTTTTGGTATTTCTTAACAAAAGAAGTCTTCAGAGCCTGCTCAACTTCCCTCTCAGAAGTTCTTTCAGTCAGACGCAACTCTTGCGCCTCTAGACTACTATGCAGCTCTTCTATTCTCATGGTGTCCAGATATTTAGAATGTTCAATTTCTACAACAATGTAATCAAATTGAGTAAGAGACCTCAATATCTTCTCAATGATTACTTTCTCAAAAAAGGTTTTTCCACAAGCTTTCATCTCATTAGTGATCAGAATCACTCTAGAGATGTACTCATAAACCTTCTTGTTGTCTTTCATGTTGAGATTCTCATATTTCTTTCGTAGAGACTGAAACTTCACCTTCTTCGCTGATGCGTCACTACCGTAATATCTAACCAGTATATCCCATGTGTCCTTTGACATCGTCAAATCTGCAAATCTTCTCACACACGTTCATATCCACACACCGATGGATGTAGAACAACGCCTTCTGATCTTTCTTCCTCTTGTCTCTCTGTGCGTTTCTCTGCTCTTCCGTTGCATTTTCTACAACTGGAACATAACCTTCGGTAACAAGCTCAAGAACATCTTAAGCACCGAACAATACGCGCATTTGAATCATCCATTTGTTCCAGTACTTGCCAACAAAATCAGGAAGTTTGGTACTCAGATTATCGTTTTCGTTCATCCTTAACTTTGTACAACTCACTCAGATCTCACAAGCACAGTGTTTCCCAATCCCAAAAAATCAGAAAAATGTGATTCTGTTCAGATTTTGTTCAAAGATTCAACACGAATCCAGAACCAAAATCAATGACACAAACGCTTCACGTTTCACTAGTGTTTCCCTGTGTTTCCCTATGATTCAGAACCTGAACTCTAGATACAAATTGTTAGTGCACAAGAATCAATGATGAACAAAACGAATATATTTACGAGAGCAAGAGAATAATGACGATAAAGTTGTAAGGAAGAATGATTGAACAATGATTGTTGTTATTGTTACTGTTACAAATGACAACTACCACTAATCTATTTATATACAAAGTAAATTGTCACGTAGACCCTAATAAAAGGTAAACTTAATAACTAAGTTAAAAGGTACAAACTAGAAAATACTAAACTTAACAGCTACGCTAACAAACTTAGAACCCAGAACCCCAGAAGTTAAGCATACTTCTGGGCGTAACCTCAGAAGCATCTGCTTCTGATTAACAACAACTTCTGATTACATCAAATTACTGTTTCTAACTAAGTAGTCTAAGAAGCTTACAGCTTTTAGCTAACAACACTGCTTCTGAATAACAACATCTTCTGAATATGATTTACTTCCAACACCCTGCAACAAATATAATAAGAGTCCGTGACAAAACTCTCAACATATACCTCTAATTTGTCTTTTTTGAACCTCCGGCTTTTATGTACTCAACTGAAATACTAATAATCCAGTATTAATATATGTTTGTTGAATCTGTCAAATTGAAGAAAAACAACAAACACACTTGAAAAGTTCACGCATCTATTAACCTTTTTTTAAAGAATGAGTCAAATGTAAAACTTTCTTGGTCACATTGAGTACTGACTTCATTCACAATTATACAGAATCATCAATTTAAACTTTCTTGGTCGATTATGACGATAATTAAATTTTAATAATGATCTAACCATATACAAATATAAAACGATAAAAACCATATACAAGCAAAATCTTCCAAATAGCCGGCTAAATCATCATTATTATATCATATGCTAATCCATTTGTCTTTTCTTTCTTTTGACACAAATTATGTCGTGTTTTCTAATCATAATTCTATAATTAGTACCAAGGTTAGCTTAACCACAATATTAATCAATATTAATATAAACTAAACTATAGTAGAGTAGCATAGAAGAAACAACATTAACATGGCAGGAGGAGCAGCTATAGGAGAAAGAACATTGAAGGAAACACCAACTTGGGCTGTTGCTGTTGTCTGTGCTGTCTTCATCATCATCTCTATATTAATCGAATATGGAATCCATACACTCGAAAAGGTTCGTTATCGTAGCTTCATATTAATCACTATACTATAAACTTAATTCAATAATACTGATTAATTTTACATATCACAGTGGTTTCACAAAAAACATAAGAAGGCCATGAGTGAAGCCTTGGAGAAAATCAAAGCAGAATTAATGCTATTGGGATTCATATCCTTGTTACTTACATTCGGTACAAAATATATCGCAAAGATATGCATTCCTCCCACGTTAGGCGACAGCATGCTTCCATGCAAGAAGGAGCAAGTGGAAGAAGATTCAAAAGATGATAGAAGGAGGTTACTTTCTTTCGATGATAACGTTGTATGGCGTCGAGGCTTGGCAGCAGCATCGGGCGGCGACGATTATTGTTCACAAAAAGTGAGTAGGACTACATGTATTGAAAAACTGTTTAGTTATTATTTGATACTATTTTAATCTTGTTTGTGCAAATGGATTATGCAGAATCAAGTGTCTTTGATTTCTCAATCCGGAGTGCACCAATTGCATATATTCATATTTGTACTAGCAGTTTTTCACATCTTTTACAGTGTTATGACTATGGTACTAGCTGGAGCAAAAGTGAGTTAATTTTTCCGACGAATATATGATTATGTTATGTTGATTTTATCGCACTTTTACTTATATCTTGATCAAAATGAGTTTGATGAACACAACAGATGAAGAAATGGAAGGCTTGGGAAGCAGAAACATCCTCCGTAGAGTACCAATTTACGCACGGTACTTCATTTTTTTTCTTCGATTCTTAATAAATCGCGTGAAAATATTTTTATGATTGATACGCTGCTGTGCAGATCCTGCAAGGTTTAGGTTTGCGCATCAAACATCGTTTGTCAAGCGTCATTCAGGCTGGACTAGAAAGCCGGGAATACGATGGATAGTGAGTTTCATACATTGTTTGTTAACTTGTGCAACAAGAAAAATACTTGAGTGGATGGTTTAATAATAACTTTTATGAAATAATCACTTTTTTTTTTTAAGGTGGCATTCTTCAGACAATTTTTCGCGTCTGTGAGTAAGGTGGATTACATGACTATGCGGCATGGATTTATAAACGTGAGTGCCAAACAAACCTTACACTAAAAAAATGTTACTATTTTTAAATTGATGTGAAAACTCAAAAACTTAATTAATCAAATGCATGCATGCAGGCACATTTTGCTCCTGATAGTAAATTTGACTTTCATAAATACATCAAAAGATCAATGGAGGACGATTTTAAAGTTGTCGTCGGTATAAGGTAATAAACAATCTTCAATGGCTTTTTCTGATACTAAAATCATCTTCATCTGAAATTTCTATTTTACAGTATTCCGTTATGGGCTTTCGCGATCATCTTTCTGCTAATGAACGTTTACGGTAAGTAAACTAATCCTTGTTAGTAAACTAGTTAACTTCATTGGAATTGTAATCAATTTTTTTTAATTAACTTGATTAATCTTTTTCAGATTGGTATACACTCACCTGGCTATCATTAGCGCCACTAGTGGTAATTAATTAAGAAATTTCATGTATAATAATTGAATAAACTTTACTTAGGCCTGTGATACGCATAATTCAGGTGTTAACCATTTTTTTCAGATACTTTTATTAGTTGGCACGAAACTTGAACTGATCATCTTGGAAATGGCCCAAGAAATTCAAGATAGAACAACAATTGTAAGAGGCGTGCCCGTGGTAGAGCCTAACAACAAGTTTTTTTGGTTTAATCGGCCCCAATGGATCATCTTCTTGATTCATTTCACTTTATTCCAGGTGATGATCGCTTTATTTTAGTTTAATTTAACCAATCAGAAGCACGGACACAAAATATACCTGACACTACTTGAAGTAGTTGAACATAATCACATGTATCGATGAATATTGAATACTGGACACGCACCTTTCATTAGTGGATTATAATGTTTACTTTTTATGATTTTGCAGAATGCTTTTCAAATAGCCTATTTCTTGTGGACTTGGGTAACAATCTACCTCATATCATAACCAATATGTTTTTTTTTCTTCAGATATTTGGATTTTCTAAGGATGTGTATTTACATTTTTCATTTATTTAAAAAATGCAGTACGAGTTTAAGATCACATCTTGCTTCCATGAAAACTTGCCACTAATAGTGATTAGGGTTGTCCTTGGAGTAGCCCTACAAGTCCTATGTAGTTACATAACATTTCCTCTCTATGCACTCGTCACACAGGTAAAACTATTAACTCAAATTTTCGTCACAAGTTTTTATAAGTCCCGTGTAGTTTACTCATAGTTTAACCATGACAATATCATATGAGATCTTGTTTAATCATGGTTTAACCACCGTTTTTATAAGTCCTATGCAATAGTCGGTCTTGTATGCTCTCAAAGACGACTTTGCTCAAATCAACCGGACCATTAAATTTTAAACTTACTCAATTTTAAATTAAATTTGCAGATGGGATCTCACATGAAGAAAGGAATATTTGAGGAACAAACAACAAAAGCACTTAAAAAATGGCAAAAATCAGCAAGAGAAAAGAGGAAGTTAAGAAATGCAGGTTCAATAGAGATTCCTTCAATGAGTGGAGAAACAACACCAAGTCAAGGAACATCACCTATGCATTTGCTTCATAAGTTCAAACCTAGTAACCAAACAGACACAGATAGTGTTCTATATTCTCCAAGATCATATCAATCTGATCAAACTGATTTTTCAGACACAGAAGGATCTACACACCAAATGAATTTGAATCTTAATCAAATCATGGCACCACCCCTACAACATCCAGTGAATAATAATCAGTTAAATCACAATATTGATTTTTCTTTTGATAAGCCTTAACAAGTAACAATGGCATAATTTGATGACCAACTTGTGTGGCTTTTTTTAGATGTAAAAGTTAGTTATAATAGCTAGTTATATTTAATAGTTGTATCAATTCTCATAAGCTCATAATTAAAAGGGTGTCTAATTTGTATGACTATACCATAAAATCTTGAATAATCTTGTAGGTATAGATAGTACAAATTATCATGTGTTGTGTTTTAGGTTTTTTTTTTATAGAATTTCTTAATGCATCTTATGTGCTACTTGTACACTCTAAAATATTCTCAGATTTCGGAGATAGACGCACCCCAACTAATATATTCGTGAATCAGACTCTAAGACAAAGGAAAAAAATACAGAGATACATCTTTGTATACATTACGAAGATGTATCTCCAAATGCTATGTGTTTAAAAACGTGCCAAAACCCTTTCTCATTCCACACTTCTAAAAAACAATTCAAAACCACTCAACTTTTTCAAACTCCGTCAACTGACATTCTCTTAAAATTGTAAGAACACGATTTGATTCTGCAATATTATCTCTGAGTTTTGATGATAACAAATGAGTACGATTGTATGAACAATTTTGTTGTACTAATGTTTGTTATTGTTGAGTACTTAACAAACAGGTTCTGCTTCTAATGGATGGTGTGATCAAGATATTAGAAGAGAATTGATTCCGCTTCTATCCTACACAAGTTCTGTTGAACATTAGCAAGACACTCCAGAAGACTCTGAAGTGTAAACTCTGATATTTGTCTAAAAGAAACTAGTCAAATGATCTAAATACAAAAGTCTCTACTTACGTTCAGATGCTGAAGACTCAAGCTTCTAAAGACAACATGTTCCAAAGAAACAAAGTTAAAAGATTTGAAGACAAAGTTTCTACTGAAGTCCAGATGCTGAAAGCTTGTGTTTCATTAATGAAGTTCTAAAGATAAGGATTCTTAAGACCAAGTGTTGAAGACTATAAAAGACAGAAGGTCTAAAGACTCTAAAGACTTGAAGTTCTAATGACCCAAGGTTTCAAGAAAAGATTCTCATAATCAAGTGCTGATGAATCTAAAGACACAGTTCTGAAGACTCTGAAGACTTGAAGTTCTGATGACATGATGTTATGTTCTCGCTTCTAAACTCATGCTCGCAGAAGCCTCTGAAGTGCAGAAGGAAAGAAGTTAACATTAACGCGGTACAAATAGTACATGGTGCAATCAACGTTTCATTCCACTACCATGAAAAGACGGATGTGTCATACGATCTTGTCCCCCACGTTACTGTTCAAGCTGCCAATGTTTCTGGAAATTTCAAGAGTATTCCTCAACGAATACATTATGTTAATGGCTATATAAAGGCTTGAAGACTAAGAAAGAAAGTGACTAACTACCGAATATTCACGTGCAAACGGTGTTCATTGCTTTCACATTCTTAAGTCACTAATCATAAAATAGTTTACATACTCAACTTTTTAGAAGCAAAATTCTTGTAAACAAAACTTGTATTTAATTTTGTTTGATATTCCTTAAGGGACCTGGTAGACCTGTAACCTTAAGAAGTCTAGAGCTTACGAGTTTTAGAAGTTGTTAGTCACTTGCGGGTAGCTTGTGCATTGTAATAATCAGGTTGATTATTAGTTGATATTCCTTAAGGGACCGAGTTGGTCTGAATCCTTAATAAGTCCATGGATTGTGAGCCTTATAAGTTGTTAGTCACTTGCGGGTAGCTTGTGCAAATTGTAATCAGTTTGGTTATAGTGAATTAAGTCCTCGATTGAGTGACACAAAATCACCTTGGTGGATGGACTAAACTAGCTTGATAATTTTTAAGTGAACTAGTATAAATATACATTATTCTTTACTTCCTGTTCTTACTTATTGTCATTATCAAGAGTGAAGGAAAAATAATTTTAACTTAAAGGGGAATATTTTTAAAAGAATAGTTTTGTTTTAAAAACTCAATTCAAACTCTCACTTTCTTGTGTTTTTCACACCTTCAATTGATATCAGAGCTCCGGTTCTGAGAAGATAAAAAGCTTGAATTTTTATCAACATTTAACAGTGTGTACTGATTTAGTGTATGTGAAAAATTAATGGCTACATCCACTTTCATTGTTGGTAATAGGGATAATGATAGAGATCACTATAGTTCAAAACCTCCTATATTTGATAGGGAGAAATTTGACTATTGGAAGGATAGAATAGAAAGTTACTTTTTAGCATATGACTTAGATCTATGGGACTTGGTAGTTGACGGCTACACTCACCCAGTAGATGATAAAGGTCATAAGATTGCAAGAAGTGTAATGACGAAAGCACATAAGAAAGTATGCATAAATCACCACAAAGAAAGAATTATTCTTCTAAGTGCTATATCATATTATGAATATGAGAAAATCACCGACAGAGAGATTGCGAAGTTTATTTTTTTATTCTCTTCAGATGACACATGAAGATAATGCACAAGTAAAAGAAATGAAGGATCTTACCTTAATTCAAAAGTATGAAGCCTTCAAAATGGAAGACGATGAATCTATGGAAACAATGTTTTCAAGATTTCAGACTCTTGTGGTAGGACTTAAGATTATGAACAAAGGTTACTCCACCATAGATCACGTTAAAAAGATTATCAGAAGTCTACATGTTAAATGGAGACCAATGGTAACTTCCTTAAAATTGGAAAAGGATCTGAACAACATCTCTCTTGAGGAGCTGATTAGCTCTTTAAGAAGTCATGAAATAGAGCTGTAACAAGATGAACCTCAAAAGAGGATAAAATCAGTTACTCTAAAGTCTACTTCTGGGAAAACCAGGGATTATCAAGCTAAGGAAGAATCAAAATAATCTGATGAAGATTCGGATGATAATGAACTCTCCTTAATATCCAGAAGAATAAGTTAAATCTGGAAGCACATACAAAGCAAGTTCAGAGGTCAAAGAAGGAAATATGGAAGAGGTGAATCCACTTCTGGTCAAAGAAATACTTCTAGAAAAGAAGTTACTTGTTTTGAATGCAACGAGCCTGGACATTACAAAAATAATTTTCCAAAGATTAATAAAGATAAGAAGCCTAAAAATGATTACAAATCCAAGAAGGGTCTCATGGAAATATGGGATGATTAAGAATCAAAAGATGAAGATTCTGATGAAGAACATGCAAACATGACATTCATGGTCAGGACCAGCAGGGGAGAAAGAGCATCAGAAGACGAACTGACAATTAATTATGAGTCAGACTGTGATGACGAAAAAAAGGTACTCTCTTCTTTATCTCATTCTGAACTTGAAATTGGTTTAACTGAATTAATGAAAAGGTATCAATCTCTTCTAAGTAAACACAAAATCTTGAAAAAGAGTGTTGTGGCTACTTCAGAAAACACGACTATAGATGAGCAAAGTATTTCTATCTTAAATGAAAAACTATTTGTTTTACAAAAATCAAACATTGCTCTGAAAAGTAAAGTGTCTAGATTAGAAGAAGAGATTCTCTCTAACACATTTGTTACTGACGAAGTTATCAGATACGATAGAGCTTTTCAAAACTTCCCTAAAATCATATATAGAAGCAAAGTGACTTCAATGATTTATGGTGTTAGTAGAAATGGAAGCAGAGGCTTGGGGTATTCAGAACCATCAAAGAAAATTGATTAGACTCTAAATATCAAACCAAAACCTCTTTCTGAACATTTAGTGCTTGCTGGCACAAATTTGAAATGTCCAGAACAATAAGGTTCTGATATTTCTGTAGCACGAACACAAACATAGAAGAAAATTTTTAAACCAAAGTATCATGCACAAATTTCACATGCTTATTCTATTGTACGAAAGTGGGTATCTAAGGATCAAATAATCTACATTGCAGATCTCCTTAATGGCGCCATTGAAACACCAGTCATAGTACCTGGACAATAGATGCTCGCGATACATGACGGGCGAATGGCATATGTTCCAAGATTTGGAACTTAAGTCTGGAGGCGTCGTTGGTTTGGGAAGCAATCAGAAGGGAAATATCATTGGCTGTGAAATGATTGGTAATGGTGAATTTCCTTCTACTAATAATATTCTTTTAGTCGAGGGTCTAATGCATAACTTATTGTCAATCGATCAACTTAGTGACAATGGTTATAACGCCATCTTTAATCAAACATCCTGTAAAGCTGTTAGTCAGAAGGATGGCTCAGTTTTGTCAATGGAAAGATGAAGAACAATATTTACAAAATAAGATTATTAGATTTGAAAAATCAAAATGTAAAATGTCTTCTGACTGTTAAAGAAGAGCAGTGGGTCTGACATCGGCGTCTGGGTCATGTTAGCTTGAGAAGGATTTCTCAACTAAATAAACTTGGATTAGTCAGAGGCTTTCCCAATCTGAATTACACTTCAGATGCTTTTTGTGAAGCTTGTCAGAAAAGTAAAATTTTAAAAACCTCTTTCAAAGCTAAAAAGATTGTTTCTACTTCTAGGCCATTAGAACTTCTTCACATTGACTTATTTGGACCAATGAAAATTGCTTCTGTCAATGGTAAGATATATGGACTTGTCATCATTGATGATTACAACAGGTGGACATGGGTAAAATTCTTGAAACACAAGGATGAGTCATACTCTATATTTGCTTCCTTTTGTTCTCAAGTGCATAATGAAAAAGATTGCAGAATAGTCAGAGTTCGAAGTGATCATGGTGGAGAATTTGAAAATAAAGATTTTGAAAAACTTATTACATGATTTTGCTTGCCCTAGAACTCCACAACAAAATGGGGTTGTAGAAAGAAAAAATAGAACTTTGCAAGAAATGGCTCGCACCATGATCCAAGAAACTCATATGGCTAAGCATTTCTGGGAAGAAGCAGTAAATACATCATACTATATTCAAAATAGAATCTCCATAAGATCTATTTTGTGTAAGACTCCTTATGATTTGTGGAAGAATAGAAAGTACAACATTTCCTATTTCCATCCATTCAGATGTATTTGTTACATGTTAAACACTAAATAAAATTTGGGTAAGTTTGATTCCAAGG